AATAATAATAATAGTACTTAGGCTCTATATTTGCCAAAACCTTGGATGTGATCCTCAAAGATTCCTTCAAAAGTTGCTATAACACTGTAATTTTTCGTATAATAGAAGATAAAATTAATAAATACATAGGGAGTACTTGATTAAACTATATTTAAATAAGAATTTCATGAATTTAGTGTAATTTTAATTGAAATAAAAATAAGGTTTAGTTTAGGGTCATCCACAAAGTAGGCCAGCTTACCCCGTATCTCTAATAACAAATGAACAAATTTAAAAAATCAGTTGCTATACAGTTGAATTCCATATAAATCTGCCTAATGATTATAAACTTTTGAGGACCTCTTTCTCAGTCCAAAGAGATTTGGTAGTAACATGTACAGAGTCTTTTCTGTGACAGCACCCTAAGAGAAAATATCATTAATAATATACAGTGAAAGTTTCATCTAATGAACTAATTATGGGGAAGAGGTATCTGTTATTCCCAATTGTCTGTTCAATCAGAGAGTATATTACCTGCAGTAATATAATTACACAAATTACACAACTTGCATCATTTATGTCTTTTCTAAAATTATATAAATACAACAGAGAATCTGTCTGTTACATCTGAAGTCTGTTGCATCAAGGTCTGCTAAATCAAGATTTTATTGTATATAATCAGTACATATTGCCAAGCTTAATTTTGTGGCATCCTTCTGCTCTCAGCTTTAATGTTTACAGAGAGCTTTTACACACACACACACACACATACACACATACAATACACAAACATATTATAAACACATCTACAATTGCTTCCATTCTCGTCGTCCTATACTTGTTTACTCTGAAGTAAAATTTACTGAATGCAATTGGGCTAGCTTCCATTTACTAGAGCATAGGATTGTGGCATTAATGATTTAAGAAGAAAAATGATTGTAAGTTTTTTACTGTTTTTGGTTAATTTTTTGAAGAATGTATTTTTCTTAACTGATATTTAGCTAGTAACATTATTGTCTGACTAATTTAGAAGATTAATGCCAGATAAATTCATTCAGCTCTGACTCAGTGGAAGCTATATTTCTACTGCTAAACTGAACATGTGTTATTATTCTAAATAATTTCCATCTGAAGCCTCTGCATGCTCATGTTCTATGTATAGAATGGTTAATGTTAGAAATATTGAAAAAACGGCTGAGGCAGGAATAAAACATAAGACTTCAAAATCTTGCTGTCCAATATCCACCCAAGTTTCCTTTTATGAAATTCATAACATACTGGTACTGTTTAAAATTCTATATAAAGTTTAAAGATTTTGTGTATAATAAATCAGGGCTTGGTTTACATACACAGCTATGCCATTCTTTAAGAGTAGAAAAATGATATAGAAAACACAGTGGAAATTTTAGTCTGTAATTGGAATAAAAGAGTCAGAATTTTACAGTTTGCTCTACATTCCAGTTAATCTGGTATACTAGGTTTTAAACTGATTGAACTCCATTGCTTCACAAGGTTGATTTTAACTAATATTCTAATGAATTAATATGGATTAAATGGATGACTGGGAACAAAGGCTTTTGCTGCTTTTGAAGGATTACATAGCAACTAAGAAGCCACAAACCTCATTGGTATTCTTAATTTTATAACCTGCCTTTATTTTAATTTGAGAATAGACAGGGATAGGAATATGTTTTGTCAAAGTAGTATATGAATGTGACAGAAGGAAATTTAGCAAGAGACAAATGCAGAGTTCTTCACTTTGGAAGAAAAATCAGGTACAGTTATGTGATGAAAGAATCCTGATTTGATTATAATCCTTGTGAAAAAGATCTTGGTATAGTAATTGATTGTAAACTTCATATGAATCAACAGAATGACATGGCTGCAAAAAAGGCAACTGTAATTTTATTTCATTTATTTATTTAGACTGCATCAATCCAAGTGCATGTTCCAAACCATAGGAAATAATAGTTCCATTTTATTTTGCTTTGGTCAGATCCCACGTCAAATATGTATCCAAGTCTTGACATAAGTTTTTAAAACGTTTCAGAGAAAATGGAACAGATTCCAAGAATGGTACCAAGGATGATCAGATAACCGAAAACTAGTCCTCCAAAGAGACATTGAAAGACCTGAGCGTGTTTAACCTTGACAATGAAAAGACTGAAAGGACATATGATAGTGTTCTTCAAATACCTCAATGGATGTTATACCCCTTGTCATTCCAGGATTCAGAAGACAGCAGAAAGAATCTAAGTTAAAAGAAGCAGATATGAATTTTAAAAAAAAAAGTATAGTGTGACAGTTGAACCAAATAGGCACAGAAGTGGTGGGCTCCTCTTAACTGGTTCCTATCAAGCTGAGGTGATCAGAGATGCTTTAATTTGGATGACTACACTAGATTCAATTGCCTAAATGGCCCATTCCAACTCTATGAAATACTGTAAATAGAGAAATATAGAAAACCATTTTGAAACATTCATAAAAAAGCAGAATACAAACCTTAAAAATAGCATGAAATAAATATTTTTAGTACTTCTATTGTGGTTTTTCATCAAGGTCTCAATAGAACTAACAGCACATAAGAAGAACTGAATGCCAATAAAAGCTCACAATAGCAGTGTATTTACCAAGTTCATAGCAAATGTATTAGGAATTTTAAAGGAAGTTCTGAGAAGGCTATCATATTATGCCATTGACTTTGTAAAAGAAATAGAAAATGATACTTGTATGGGAAGCATATTTCCTCTTTCATCCTCTCAATTTCATTTCTAGGCTCTGGAAAGTGAATTTGTGTCTTGTCAGCTTCACCAGTGGATTGATCTGATATTTGGCTATAAGCAACGAGGACCAGAAGCTGTGCGGGCACTTAATGTTTTCCATTACTTGACATACGAAGGTTCAGTAAACCTTGACAGTATCACTGATCCTGTTCTCAGAGAAGTAAGTACCTTTGGCTCCCACTTTTTTTTCCTTCAATCATTGCTAAATGTTTCTTAATATTAGGTTTTTCACTTGAAAAAAATGGATTATTTTGTTATTCTTCAAAACAAAAAGGGGTTTGTGCACATGCCCTTGGTCAAGCTTATTTGTCATATCATAAATTGTTGGGAGTATCATCTGCATCTTGGATATTGATTTGTGAAAGATGGAAACCTGGCTTAAAAATTTACCTCTCTTCTGAGGCAAACTGAATCCACATATATGTTTCTAAGATAGATGTGGGAGAACCTCGCTGACATTACAAATATTCCTTTGGATTTTTCGCAATTATATTGTATTAATCAACAAGTGAGGTTAAAATAGGTTATGTGTTTGTGCTAATGTATTATATTTACTGAATTACTAACTAGAAGAGTTGGACATGTTGAAATCCATACATATGTACATTTCTTATATTTATACTGCTTACAAAATCATGTTTGATTTTGTTTGTTTATGTATCAATAAGTCAAATAGACACAGAATAAAATAACCCAAACATGAATGAAGATGCTGGTTTCTTTTAGCATGTGTGTGTGGTGTCTTATAGCACTTTTTCAAAAATTTGGTTTCTGCAGAATGTGCTTCCATGTATTGTCTCCTAACTTGTCAACTCATCTTAGTAAAATTATTATTAGATTATTGCTCTAATATTAAAGCATTCTGTAAAATAATTCAGTTTGGTTGAAAAGTGTGAAGATGCAGCAGCTGCAAGATGAGTATTGTTGTGTTGAGGCTGCATACATAAGCTTCTATGCCCCATGATATCTGCCATCTGTTGTATGCAAAACAAGCAATAATTTATACAAGGGCAGCAGAGTACTTGTGGCATTTTTTTCCTGAAAAGTGAGAATCTGAAAATTTACAGTTAATTACTTAATTATCTCACAAACTAGATATTAATTTATATTTCCATAATATTTCTACAGTTTAGGCTGAGTTGCACATTCTGAGATATTAGAATCCTATTTCATGGTACTAGCAGAAATGCATGAACTATATCTAATTTCATGCAATCATTGGAAAAGTTGACATATTTTTGATTTTCACTTCAATATTGGAAAGACAGGATATGAATCTAACAAATACTTCAGATAGTTTGGATCTAAATTTAATTCATCATCCAAACAGACTCAGTGAAATCAATGCAACTTAGTCTCATTTATTTCAGGAAGTCCAGTAAATTAACTATGAAAATATCAAGAAAGAAACTTCTTGACAAAATGTTTGTGGGCAAGATTTAGGGTAGCATTTATTCATTCCCAATGGCCCTCTCTAAAATTTTTAGGATTTCTGTGTGTTTGTGTGTGTGGTGGGTATATATTCTTCTGCTTCATCCTGATAGTCAGGCTTGCAACTTCAGACTAAATACAGGATAATAAATTCTACCTCCCCTCCTACATTCAGATATTTAAGAGGATTTTTAAAAAATTAAATGTTTTTGTCATTTAGATAAGTAGAAGAACGTGTTGGGATTCTTGCTAGACAACTGTTTGATTAATTGTAAAGAATGCACCTTTCTTTCTAATTTGGATTCTTATATACTTCAATTCCTAAGAGCTACAAGCATCATAAGAATAGAAATACAGTTGAAGGAAGTCAGCCTGGCATTCTCCAGGTGTATTGGAAAATGCAGCCTCAGAATTCCCAAGTAGTAGGATCATTGGCTAGAGATTTTAATCCCAGTATATCTGGAGGGTACCAGGTTGGGTAATGCTGGTGTAGCTTTGCATCTTATGAACTATGTTAAACTATTGTACATGCATATCATATTTTTCAAATTCGTAGATGCTTCAAGTCACTTCCAGTTTCATTTCTTCATTTATTAGAAACTTCCTTCAGATTTTTATCTTAAAAGGTTGAGATATGTTTAATGTGAGATGCTCTAAAAAGAGAGAGAAAGAGAGAGAGAGAGAATATTTTTGCTGACAGTAAATATGTACCAAGTTATGATTTTCCTATTTTTTCCTATAAATTATTAACAGATCTAGTTAAACTGTAAGAATGACGTACTGTATCATGAGACTAGGAGCAGGGAAAAAAATAATCTTCCTTTTGGAAGAGGACTCATATTTCATCTTGCCTCCTTATGCCTTCCAACAGTTCATTTTTGCCATACAATTCACATATTATTTCATGTAGTGTGGGATGATGATACTTGGCTGTTTTTATAAGGTATTAAGTAGTTCATATCAGTTAACTCGGTAATATTTGCAATAGCTCTAAAGTGTAGGCCAGTGGTTACTCTCCCAAATTTCTGCAGTCTTACATTAACTGAATTGACGTTTTTCAGGATCCTATTACAAATAAGGTATGTGTTCACATTTGATCTCTCTCTCTTTCTCTCTCATTCTCTCTCTCTCTCTCTCTCTCACACACACACACACACACACACACACACACACACGTTTCTAAAAGGCTAGTTTAATACTTAGTTTTTCTTCATTAGGATTGTATTCCAAGGCAACCCCCAGAGCAAACCAAACCACTTTTTTAAAATTATT